AATTTTAATTTTATTTTATTGATTTTGTCTATCTATTTCATTTAAGATCCTCATTGAATTCTCATCGTGTTCGAATTATTTCATCATCAAATCTTATTATTACAAATCAATGGGGGGATACATCAAATAAATTCAATAATTTTCAACTACCTACTGCTTCTACTGCAATGACTACATTCACTTCTAAATCAATTGATTGCAATAATACTACTACTACTAATAATAATCATCATCATCATACATCTCCTTCTTCTTCTTCTTCTACTCATCATCCTCTTAGTGTTGTTGTCACTCATTCAACTTCATCTTCATCATTACTCTCATCGTCGTCTTTGTCGTCATCATCATCATCATCATCGTTATTGAATAGTACTTCTACTACAACAACACCAACGACTACTACTACTACTAATAATAATACTTCTTCTAAAACTTCATCTCGTACTTCAACACAATCATTATTTACTACTACTACTACAAATCATCTTAATCCAACTAGCCTAGCGGTTAATCAGAACCATCAAAAAATCAATTCAATTCGTCATAATTTGATAACAGACACTATCGGTAAAGATGTGAATGAAGTGAATAAGGCTAATAGTAATAACAGTAGTAGTAGTAGTAGTAGTAGTACTGGTAGTAGTACTGGTTTGTGTATAGAGAAACCACAATCTGAAACCACCAACACCACCACCACCTCCACATCATTGAAACAATCCACTAATCGAAAATCATCACGTTGCAAATCTAGTAGTAGTAATTCATTGAATCCATCGGATCGTAGTTATCATCAACATCAACATCAACATCATGTATTGTCGAATCGATTAAAACGATCACATGACACTAGTCCAAGTAGTTTAAGTACAAGTAGTAGTGATAGTAGTAGCAGTAGCAGCAGTAGTAGTGCGAGTAGTACAAGTGTAAGTAGTAGTGATAGTACAAGTAGTAGTAGTAGTAGCAGTAGTAGTAGTAGTGTGAGTAGTATCAGTAGTAGTAGTAAGACATCAATATCATCGTCAAAAAGTTCGAAATGTACTGCTACTGCTACTGCCACTTCTGCTACTGCATCTTCTACAGCCTCTTCGAAATATCCTGCTGGTTCATCGTCAACTACAACATCAACAGCAGCAACAACTCGTCGTCGAATAAAAACAATACAATCTATCAAATTAAATCATAAATCTAAATCAATTGATTCACATGAACTGATGAAGAATAAACCATTAACAACAAAACTGTCATCTGAACGTAGTTCATCTACAAATTATAATGATTCATTAAAAGTTCATATTGGTAAATGTAAAGAGAATAAATTTTTGAAAAAAACTAATTCATCATTACATATGTCGATAACACCAACACCGACAACAACATCAGCAACACCAACACCGACAACAATGAATAGTTCAAAATCTAGTGATTCAAATTCATCATCATCATCATGGTTCACTGATAATACAACAACACCACCACCACCATCAGATTCATCCATATTTCTACATCAACAACCTTTACGTGTACAAACAATGAATTCATCGATTTTATCACCTATTCGTAATTCCATTATTGCTAGTAATGGTAGTTTATCTAGTCCTGCAGGATCTAATTCTTCCATTACTGGTCAGAATAATAATAATAATCTACGACGTACACCAAATAATGTTGGATGTTGTGATAATCTAACGAACAATAATAATCATTGTCAATTTGAATTTACTGGTCCAACAATGCCTAATCAACATCAACATCAACATCATTCATCGTTGAAATTATCAACACCAACAATGTTAACAATGAATGAATTTAGAGTAAGTCCAACATCAACAACTTGTTCTGTTAGCGCTACTAGCAGTGGAATAAGTAGTGGTGGTCCTAGTTTTACTAGTACAAATAGTAGTGGAGCTGGAAGTACTGGTGACAGTAGTAGTAGTAGTCCATTAACAACAAATAATCATTTTCAATCTGTAATCAATTCGAAACTATTAAATTCTACTAATCAAATTAAAGTGACTTCATCAGCATCATCAACATCATCAGCATCATCCTCCTCATCATCATCGTTATCACCGTTGAAACGTACTGTTGGACAATCCAATGGGATTATTGATCATACACATTATAATAATAATAATAATAATAATACAAATAAATCACGTACATTCAATGATTATTCACCGTCAAATTTAAAACTTCATTTATCCTCTTCAAATACTACAGCATTGGCTTGTTCTTCACCAGGTTCTAATAATAATAATAATAATAGTCCATTATGTTGTACATCTTCATCAACCACAACCACAACCACAACACCATTAACAGTGTCAATAAAACTTACCGGGATAAATCATCGTTCAACACAACCCAACAGTAATTTAATATCACCTTGTAGTCTTGCAGAAAATTCTGATCTGTTTATGTCAAATCATGATTATAAACAACAACAGCAACAGATCAACAATGGAGAAACAACATTACCATTGACACCAGTTTCAGCTCCACCAATACGATGTTGTAAAACATCACGACATCATTCATCAATGGATATTCAACGTCGTCGTCGTCGTAGTATTACTGGTTTAGATGGATTGTCGTCAATCACAACAGGAACAACAACAAGTTCTACTACTACAAGTAGTACTAGTACTTCTACAACAAATGATCATTTTACTACTACCGATTGGTGGAATACTACCACTACTACTAATACTAATACTGGTACAACTACTACTACTGAATCCCCTGTGTATGAATCAATGTATGATAAAATTAAACGTCGTACAAATAAAGAGGCGGAAGAACGTCGTCAACGACAATTGGAAACATTTTCTACACGTGATAAAACCAGTAATAATAATAATAACAACAGTAATAGTAATAGTAATTGTAGTAATAATAAGAAACAAAGGAAAAAAGATCAACCAGCGAAATCGCCTACATTATCTACTACTAGTAATAATAGTAGTCATAATCATCATCATCATCATCATCATATTCCTTTATCTTCACCAGATTCATTTAGTAGTGAACAACAACAGATGAGTATTGGTAAACTTTCAAATAACAATAACAGTAGTAATAGCAATAATTTTTCATTAAACAGTAGTAGTAAATCACAACATTCAATCATCAATTCAAAATATTCTAAACTTGATACTGTCAATAATAATAATAGTAATCGTTCATTGAGTAAAAAACATATGAATCGTCAAAAGCATGAAACTAATGCAATGCATAGTACATTTCTCAGTGGTGGTGCTAGTGGCGGCGGCGGAGTTGATCATACTCATACTAATACTACTAGTCTATCTCAATGGCATTCTTCAACACATTCGGATAAAATTTGCAATGATTCAGAACTAACGAATGAATCATCCAATTTGTATACACGTAGAATGTCTAGAAATTTATTAAATTCTTCAAGAAATAAACGTCGTCGAAGTATTGTCAGTTCTTTATCATCATCGTCGTCGTCGTCGTCGTCATCATCACCATCGGTGGGGGCGTCGGCGGCGGCAGCAGCAGCAGCAGTAGCGTCAGCAGCATCATCTTCGTTATCCTCACCATCCTCGTCATCATCAGCATCAAGTGAAGGTGAATGTCATTCGAATTCACCACCGGAAACTTTAACTCGTTTAAGTTTGGGTATGCGTTTCCCAGTGTCAGCTACTTATCATGAATGTATTCGACCAAGTAAATCTTCGACAATTACTAATAATAATAATAATAATAATAATAATGTAAATCGTAAATGGACAACTCATCATCATCATCGGCTTAGCGATGACGATGATGGTGACGATCATCGTGACGATGAACATGACCATGATGATGATGCCGGAGAAGAGGATGAAGATGTTTTGAGTCAATTCAGTTCATCTTTATCATGTTCAACTAATGATAGTAAATTAGATCCGACAAATTGTTCGTTAAAACAAAAAATTCCATTTTCCACAACCACAACAACAACCAAATTAAAACAGACAACTTTGAACTCGTCCAATCCATTTGGACGGAATAATAATAATAATCATAAAAATTATTGCTATTATGATCATGATGATCATGATGATGATGATGACATAACCAATCATCAACATCAACAAAAACATCACAATCATCATCATCATCATCATCGACATCATCGCCATCATCAACATCACTACCAGTCAAATAAAAAATCCTGCATCAATAATAATGCTGGCACAACTACATTAGAATGGAAAAATACTGAGAAAAAATTAAAATTACATCATCAACATCAACAGCATAATAAACAAAATGATAATTATCGTAAACAATTATCTTCAACAACTATTCACAATAATAATAATAATGTTGATAAACAGAAGTCAACTATGAATAATAATTTACTTAAAAGGCAATACAATGAGATCTATTCATTAAAATCTACAAATACTACTAATACTAATACTACTGATTTATTATATCCTAATAAACGTAAAAGAATTTTAAATAAATTACGCAAAAAAAATCTACATGAAACTGATTGTATCAATAATTCACATCATTTTATTATTGAATCAAAGCATCCTCGTAAACATCAACATCAACAACAACAACATCATCCTAGTTCAAAGCCATATTTTTCTGATGATGATGACGATGACGATGGTACTTTGTTGGATTCAGAAATGGAAGAAGATATGAAAACAAATACATTGCTGCATTGTTCCGATTCTATATCACATACAACTACAACGAGTGGTAGTGGTAGTAGTAGTAGTATAAGTGATCATCATCATCCTCATCATCACAGTATCATGAAAGATTCATATTTTCATCAGAATAAATTAACTGATCGACAATTGTTGTTACCATCATCCTCTTCACCATCATCTATCATACATCATAATGAAATGATGATGATGATGATGATGAATGAATCGAATCGATTTCATGTAGAGAAAAATCATTTACAAAGTCCTAATTGTAATCGATACTGTCATCATCAACCTCATCAACATTCTCATCATCATTCCGATTATAATAATATAAATAAAAAGGCTAAAAAATGTTTAAAGACTATGATTACTACTAATACAACTAGTACTACAACAACCCTTAGTACGAATACTTATATTACCAGGAATAGTATTAATAATAATAATAATAATACACTTCAATGTAGAAGAGATCAAGATGACGATTGTGCATTTGATGAAGCTATTTTAGATTCGGATCGTTTTTCTGCAAATTCTAAATCGACCATTTCTACAGAACCAATGGAACAATGTGAACTTGATGATGATGATGATGACGATGACGGTGGGAATACAAGTAGTCCATGTATGAAATTTACCGATGGTGAAGATGATGATGACGATGAAGAAGGTGGTGGTGCTGATGGCGCTGACGACGATGATGATGTTGATGATGATGAATGGCGTTCAGGTATAGCATCCAGTTCACCGAATCCTCCAGTTCATTTAGAATTTGATGAAGTTGTTTGTGACAATCATAATGATGACGATGATGATGTGGAAGGTTGTGAATTGGTGGTGGTAGATAGTAAACCTGAACCAAATACTACTGATTCATTTGTTGAAAAATTATCAAATTCTATGATAGAATCATCAGATGAAGAAAAAATTCAAGATACCACTGGTACCACTACTACTAGTACTTCTATCAGTATCAATAATCAACATTCATCATGTGATGGTACAGATGAAAAGAAATTTGATCATAGTTTTAATCGATCTATCAATGATGATGATGATGATGACGCTGATGATGCGGATGTTAATCATGATCATAAATTAAAACGATCTGATTCAGTTACACTATCGAATCATAAATTGTCTCCAACGGATTCTGTGGCTGCTACTGCTGCTCCTGGTGCTGGTGTTTGTACTGGTGATCAACCATTGAATAATACTATAAATCATTTATCAATCAAATCAGAATCAACGAATAAACATACATTAAATTCCAATCTAATGATGATGATGATGGTGAATAATGAAATTTCAACAAAAATCTCTTCACCACATCATCATCATCATTCAGTGGAATTGAAATTCAGTAAAGAAAATTATTCTCCATCACATTTACAAACATGCATTGTTTCACAATGTTCAATTGTAAATAATAATAATAATAATAGCAGCAGTAACCAAAATGTTGATCATTTGAATACAACAACAGGCGCAATGATCAGCTCATTGAAAACTTCCATTGATAATGATCAATCTCATAGTGATGATTGTTTGATTTTGCACACTCCTGTTACTACTGTCAGTACTCCTACGACTACTCTTACAACATCATTGAATAATACTCATTCAGAAACAACCACTGCACCGACACCTTCAACGACACCCACAACATCAACATCAACAACCATGATGAATGATACAAATGTTGTCAAAGAAATCACACCGAATGTATCATCATCATCATTGATGAAAAATGAACATTTTCATCAAATTGCATCATGTATACCACCACCACCTCAATCAACATTGAATAATTCTTCATCAAATGATTCAATCTCATTGAATTCAATGTGTACAATGTCAAAAATCACTAATCATTCTCCATTGATTATTGACAATCATAATAATAAAACTGTAAATGTTAAAACATACGATAAATCATCGGAATTATTTACTCAATACGATCATCATACTAGTTCACGTCAAACATGTCATACAAAGACAACGACAGCGACATCGACATCGACACCAACACCGACAACATCTCTTTCGACTACTTCACAACCAACTGAAGTACATGATATTACACGATATGTTCAAAGTGTTATTGAACGAGTGAAAGCAGAACGTGTTGAAGAATATCAACAAGCAGCTGCTGCAGCTGCACATTCACATCATTCAACAACTATGCCATCATCTATGACAATGCCTACAACAACAACAACAAATTTATCAAATTTTACATTAAATCAAACAATGAAATTACATAATGAACAGACAAATTTAACTGGAATCATATCACCTCATAATAAACGATCATCATATGGTAATAGTAGTAATAATAATTGTAATAGTAATCACAGTAGTAGTGGCAGTAGTGGTCAACGTCGTTCATTACTTGTTACTACTGTCAATACATGTTCTCCATCGAAAATGAATACTTCAACAAGATCTAGTAAATTATTAAGTCCTAATACAAATCATTCTGTGATGATGACAACAACAACAACATGTCATATTGATTTATCATGTGTGAATGTTGTCACAAATTCAATGATATCATCACCACCACCACCACCTTGTACAACAACAACAACAACATCAAGTATACTTCATCCTAAACTATCAACATCATCATCTGATGTACAATTACCATTGATTCCAGGAGTTAATGCTTGTGCACCATTGAATTTACCTTCTTGTACTACTACTACTACTACTACTACTACTACTACTACTACTGGTCAATTAAATACTACTCGTGTAACAAGACAGTCGTGTAATAATAATAATAATAATAGTGGTAATACATTTGATAATTTACAAAATTCTACAAAACGATCTGATATTTCTCATCATTCTAATCATCATAATAACTTAGATATATCATCTACAACACCATCATCATCATTGCCACTAGTCAATCAGACTAATCGACGTCAAAGACGTTCTGATAGTAAAACACTATCATCAAATACTGGATCAATGTTTCCTTATACAACATCTCTAGTTTTGACTTCATCAGTTACAATTAATCCAACTGTAATTTCTATTTCATCATCCGCTTCATCATCAACTACTATTTGTACTAAGACAACTGACATGATTATTTCAAATCATCCTGTACTAACAACAACAACAGCGTTACCTACATCTTCAATTGACTGTGTACAACATAAAATGAAAAATTCTACGACTACAACTACTAGTAGTAGTACAATCCACGCATCGATTGATCCATATGAACCAAATTTTGATGAAGAATCACCAGTAAATTTCAATCCAGCTCAATTACATCCTCATCGATCTTCATCCCCGGCATTATGTTCATCACCTAATACTATTGTCAATGTCAACACCACTCATCAAACTCGTAAAACAGCTTGTACTACTACAATTGAAAGCATTAATAATACAAATGGTCAATCTATTGCTTCTTCTACACCTTTAATGGGAGTTGCCTCATCATCGTCGTCAACAGGACTTGTTATAACCGATTCAAAATCTAATCGAAATACTGAAATGATTGTATGCCCTAATGTTACTGGTACTATTACTAATACTATGACCACTTCATTGTCTCTGTCTGAATCTTCAATGTTGAATGTACCACCGACAACAACAACAATGACGACGACCGCGACACCAACGACTACTTTCTGTGTTACTACTACCTCGAATCAGTCATCTGTTGATACAGTAGATGAAGTGATTAGTGATGTATGCGCTGGTCATTTTGATGTTCAAAGTTATCTCAAAAATTGGTCATGTAATATGACTACGATTAATAATCCTGTTACTACTAATACTACTACTACTCCAGTTGGCACAACTATAATTGCTAATAATAGTATACAACCGATTAAAGTTTCTATCAACAATCCTTTATCATCACATGAATCTAAACCTAATCATATTTCAACATGTATTCCAACTATGACTAGTACTATTAGTACTGCTACACCTACTACTTCAACGAGTACTGTTAATACAGCTACAACTACAACTACTACTACAACTTGTCCTACTGTAACTATTACAACTAATCAATCAACACGGTCAATGAATCCAACTATAGTAACTAATTTAGCAAATAATTCAACTGGTGGTGTTGGTGGTGCTGGTCTACCATTCTCTCTACCAATTACAAGTGAACCAATTGTAGCTGCTGTTACAATACCAACTGGAAAAACTAGTAATCTCGGAGGTAAAATAGATTCAAACAATGCTATTAATATTGGTACAGGTAGTGCAGTGTTAAATACACTACTTGCTGCTTTACAACTTATCCCAGGTAGTCAAGTGACAGTGACTGGTCCAGCTGCTGCAGCAGCTGCCGCCGGAGTTGTTGGTAATAATAATTCACGTACTATATCTGCTGCGACTATTACACTACCAGTGAATGCAGCTCAACAAGCTGCTGCTAATATTAAGGTTAGTTTTCAATAATTTTATTGTTTGTGTGTGTGTGAATGTAGTTTTTCCTTCTTCTTATCCCGTATTTTATAAAATAAACACGAAACTGATCGAATATTCTAGAATTTCGCGTTGTATTCATCACCATCATCGTCATCATCTTCGATATGGTTAGGGTCTGAGACAATCAGTATATATTCACTCAATGATTTTTTTGATAGTCAGTCAGTCAGTCAGTTAGATGCAACGTAGAACTTCGTACGTAATAAGTACATCAGTTCATGTCGCCATAACACATCAGCACACAGATATAATTGTCAATTCAAATTCAATAGTAGAAGAGGTTGTAAAGGTATTAGAAGTAATCGGAGAGGTTAGGATTAGAAGATACTATTCAAGAAGTATGATTCAATGAGATAAGGTTAGAAAGACAAAGGTAGAAGTGTTGACGAATCCAGAAGATTAGGATTTGAGAGAACACAAAGAATGGATGCACTTGCGCCATTGCAAACGATTTTGAGCCATGTCATTCAAGGTCTCTAACCATTGGTGACTTTCGTCTCGCAGACCCCAACCAGGTAGTCTACACCTACCAACATGACTCAATTCACTTGTCAGTGACTTCATGGATTTCTGCAATGTTTTGGTCTGGTCGCCACTAACGTTTTTCCAACCTACTCCTACACCACAAAACAAAGCTCGTCGAGGCAGTCGGTGGTTAGCCATACGTAACACATGTCCCAACCACCTTAACTGATGAAGTCTCAGCACTTCATCTATTGATCTGCCATCCTTAACTAATACTCGTTTCATAACGTCAGCACTGCTTACTCGATTTTCTCACGATTTACGAGAAAAGCTTCTAAGACATCTATGATCGAAAACCAATAACCTACGAATATCTCTCACTCTCACTGGCCATATAAACCATAGTTATCAATAGAGCACATGAGCATGACAATTTCGATATTGATTTGATTTGAAGAAGTGAGTTTGTATTTTAAGTCACGAAACACCAGAAAACTAAGAAACAAAGAAGTTTGTACTCATTTTTTTTTTGATTATCAGCTTACCATTCAGTGATAGTGATCGATTTATTTGAAACTATCAAGTTCAACGTTGGTATTGATACTTTACTTAGTTAGTTAGTTAGTTAGTTACACTTGTTCATTCTAATGAAGCATAGGCCATCTGGAGTTATTCTATGGTTACTGTCGGTTCCAAGACATGAGGCTAGCAACTTTATGTCGTAAAACCAACTAACTAGAAAAAGAAATAATTTAAACCATTTGAACTCTGTTCCTGAGACTTGGAAGGTTATAATGTCTCATGATGAAAATCTATTATATGTGTCTGTTATTCACACAAACTATTTAGGCATGTATATACAGAAAGTTGACGATCTATCACTTCACAAGGTCAGTCAGTCAGTAAGTCATTTACAACATAGAACTTCATACATACGTACATCAATCAGTTCAAAGTTGCCTTAGCGCAGAGACTCAGTTGTCAATTGGAAATCCCATAGTGGTAAAGGTAGGAGACGTATTAGCAGTAATCAAAAGGATTTTATGATCGAAAATGTCATTCCCAATGTAATCAGTTTAAAAAATGTGAAAAAAATGGTCATGAGGAATTCAGAAGATCAGGATTTAAGTGAGCACAAAGAATGGATGAACAAGGTACAATAAATGTACAATCCACGGAATCTCGGTGTCTGTCAATATTCCATGCTAAGAATTCCATATTGTACTTTTGTTTGCCATACAGATAGATAAGTCGCATCTTTAACCTTATATCACTGAATTATACTTCTTGAATAATATCTTCGAACCCTAGTTTTCTTCATTACCATTAATACCTCTACTATCTCTATCACTGTGGGATTTGATTCGACATTTGCGTCTCTGTGCTAATATGGTATGCCAACATGAACTTATGTACTTACGTACGAAGTTCTACGTTGCGACTGACTGAGTCGCATCTCTATGATCACTGTTCAACTACAGATAGATGATCATTCGTAGAAATATTACATCTCACCTTTTAAACAACTAACTGCCTTTATACTTTTAACACCACTCGAAATCCTCTTCATACTTGCTGTACATCGACTACCACTGATCTGTTCATCTATAGGCGACGTTTTGAGAGAACTTGGATGATACAATGCAAGCATGTTCAGGATGCGGTTTTACCCCTCGAAATGCAAAATGTTGCTTCAAGATTGGGTTGCATCGGCACTTGAACTAGTGACAGAGAGTGAAGTAGTTGAGCGTGTTGACCGCTTCACTTATCTGGGGAGTTTCATCAGTGCTGACGGTCTGGTGACTGACGAAATCTCACCTCGGATACACAAGGCTCCATTAACTTTTTCCAACCTGCGTCACTTATGGCGTAGGCGAGATAACCATTTGCTGACTAAAGGATGAGTGTACTGCGCAGCAGTTCGCTCCTTCCTACTTTATGGCTGTGAAACATGGCCAATGAGAGTGGAAGATATTTGTAAGTTACTGGTTTTTGATCATAGGTGTCTTCGAAGCATTGCTCGTATACCGTGGAACAACCAAGTAAGCAATGCAAACGAGTACTAGGTAAGGATGGCAGATCAATAGATGAAGTAGTGAAACTTCATCAGTTGAAGTGGTTGGGATGTGTGTTACGACTGCCTCGACGAGCTATGTTTTGTGGTGTAGGAGTAGGTTGGTAGAAAGTTAGTGGCGGCCAGACCAAAACATGGCATAAATCCATGAAGTCCCTGACAAGTAGACTGAGTCATGTTGGTAGATGTAGACTATCTGGTTGGGGTCCGCGAGACGAAAGTCACCAATCGTTAGAGATCTTGAACGACATGGCTCAAAATCGTTTGCAATGGCGCAAGTGCATCCATTCTTGGAGCTCTCTCAAATCCTAATCTTCTGGATTCCTCAACACCTCTACTTTTGTCTTTTTAACCTTATCTCACTGAATTATACTTCTTGAATAATATCTTCAAACCCTAGTCTTCTTCATTAGCACCATTAATACCTCTACTATTTTTATCACTATGGGATTTGAACTGACAGTTGCGTCTGTGTGGTATGGCAACATGAACTGATGTACTATACGTACGAAGTTCTACGTTGCAACTGACTGACTTGATGTTACACACACACACACACACACTCACCCACACATACTACAGCCCTAAACTCGTATATTATATATATGTGTGTTAGCTCGATGGTTTCATGTGTATATATAAAACATTCAGTTGATCATTGACATGTTGTTATCTCATTAGAGTAATGTTTCTTTTGTTATAAAGAAAAGAATGAGAAGAAAAATTGAATTAATCTTTGTGTTTTGTTTTTTTTGTGTTTACATGTGTGTATTGTTCTTGTTACTATAGTAATCTAATATATATATTCATTTATGTGTGTGTGTGTATGACCATAGGTTAGTTAGTTAGTACTACCAGAATTTTCCTTTTTCTCAAAAATAACCGATGATAATGATGATGATGAAACCAAGGTTATGTGCGGTTACTATCCCATCACCCACCCCCCCCCTCCTAAAAGAAAAAGAAAGAAAAATTCACTTCAATTACTTGATCATGTTCAATAAATGCTGTGTCATATGTTGTTGTTTATTGTTGTTGTTGTCTATGGTTACATAGTTATGTTATTTTATGTTATGTTTTGTTTTTCTGCTTTTGTTGTTCATTTTCCAACGCCAACGCCAACCATACATACAGGCTGCTGTTCTATCTGTTACCAATCCTAATCATCAAGGGAAAGCAACAGCACCGGCAGCACCAGTTAACATCGATTGGAATCAACAAGATTCATTATTGAATGTCAATAATAGAACAACAACTACTACTACTACCAATACTACTACTTGTACTACTACTACTACTACTAGCACAGAATCAGTTCAAAATGAATTGAAAGTCTCGCATGGAGTATTTACTCCATCATCAGTGTGTTTAACCTCTGCCAATGTGATCAATACT